GTTTGGGAATCTGTGGTGTGGCCACGGGGGACACACAGCCACCCTCCAGTGAAGCCCACAAGGGCTGCCCGAGCTCCCTCCCAAAGCCTCGGCCCCCTTACCCGCAGTTATCCCATGTGCCATGCGCAGGCCAGCACAGGGCCTGCAGGATGAGGAGGGGAAGCAAATTCATCGCTACCAGCAAGAACTGAGGGCTTGTCGCCACCAGCGCAGCAGCCGAGGTACTGCCCACAGTACTTGCACTGCCCGTGGTGCCCTTGGCCCTGGGGCCGCTGTTTCTGGGTGTGAGGCAGGGTGGCCTCTCAGGGGGTGGAGGTGCAGGTGTCGGCAACATGGGGGGTTTCCAAGCAGGAGGTGAGGCATAAGCTGGGATTGGGGACCCCCAACAGACCCCTGCTGAATGCTCTGCTTGAGGGATGAGGACATGCAGGCTCCGTGGCAGGCAGAAGCACCTGCCTCCAAGCACTGCCTGCTCACAGCTAGTGGGAAAAAAGCAAGCGTGGCATGACAGCCTCTTTGGGAAGTTCACTGCCACACTGCTCTCTGCAGTCATTTGCCATCAGGTCCTTCCCAAAAAACATACACCAGAGAATGTAACCACTACAGGCAGTATGCATGCGTTTGGCTGTTGAAGAGCCAATATGGTCACAGCCGCAGTCAGCAAGCTGTTACGTGTGAATGGGACAAGTCCAGCAGACCCACCTGGTGCACTTTGGATGCACTCAGGCTGGCACATCACTTTGTGTGGTGTTCTCTGTGTGCACATGCACCACGTGTGCACTATGCATGGGTGCATTCAACGTCTACGTACACACACTGTGCATGCATGAGGAGGAACAAGGAGAGAAGGGATGGAAAGAGTTAACAGGATTCAGGCAGTTCCTGCCCTGAGCGTTGAACAAGAGTAAAGGAAGATAACAGGGAAGTAAACAGGTGCTGACAGTTAGGTATGAGAGGAACACAAGCCTGCAAAATAGCAGCTAATGAGATTAGCAGTAGTGGCGCACAAACGATGCTTGTACACCAATCATAGCTTACTTAGTGGCGCATGTGCTGATAGAGAAATGTATATAATGATGCTGTAACAAACAATAAAGGTCTTCGGTCTTCAGTTCACCCTCAATCAGAGTCCGTGCCTTAATCCACCACACATGCACACCATACCCATGCTGCCCCCCCCCCCCCCCCCCCCCCCCGATCCAGGCTGGCTTACCTCGATGGGCTGGGGCAGCGTGCTGTCTTCCTCACAGATGTGTGCCAGGGGCGGGCCAAAGAGCGCCCATCGGCACCCAGAGTCCACCTACCCTGGTGCCTGGGCAGTGGCTTGGGTCTGCCACAGAGCAAAAGGCCAGGGCAGACCTTTCCTCCTCCTCTGGCTCCCTCCTG